CCCCCCCCCATAGAAACAGTGGACCTAATACCAAGAAATAGGCATGGGAGGGCACTAGGGTTGTCACCCAAGAGGAGATAAGCGGTAGTCTGAAAAGGTTTGGAGACCTTTGCTATGATCCAAATCATATTTGTCTCTATGTTGTAGTTGAGAATGCCATGTCTGTACTCTAGTTGGAAGTACCTTAATAGTAAATAGACCATGTACATAGGTGAGCAGCTGTGGAAAGCTAGGAGCTGCATTAATCCCACACTATGACCACTCTCACAAATAAATGAATAAATCATATTTATTTTTTTTGACCCAAATACCCCAAACTCCATCTAGGGAACATAGGGAGGTTGTCTCCATCTAGGCTACATACAGAGCAGTGTGTCATTAGGGTTGTTGTCACATGGTACAGTAACTTATGGTGTCACCCTCCCATCTCCTCCATACCACACCATACATAATCTGTTTCTGTTGAATACCCATAGTCTTCAATATTGGTTATTATTCTGCTAGAGAACAGCAAGCAAGAGCTGAGATTCCAGATATTTATTTCTTTACAGTGCATAGCTGAACAACACTGTACCATGCAATTTATATATACTTTGGGATTCCTGGGAGAAAAGCTTGTCTGTGTGTGTACATACTATTAGCAAAAAAGGTAACTTTTCATGCCCTACCAGAAATGCCAGTATATCCTTTGAAATGTTGGGGAATATTAACTGAAAGACTTACAAAAGTCTGGGTAAAATTTACTAAGATCTTTATGCCTATTTATAGCAGGAATAACTATGAGAGAAACTATGAGAAAGAAACACGGTGGCTCAAGTGGTTAAGACGCTGGCTCTGTAGATTGCAAGATCAGCAGATTGGTAGTTCGAGGCCCAGGTGTTGCATGATGGGGTGAGCTCCTGTCACTAGTCCCAGCTTCTGGCAACCTAGCAGTTCGAAAGCATAGATAAATAGGTACCACTTCTCAGTGGGAAGGTAAACCACGTTCTGTACAATCATGCTGGCCACATGATCACAGAGTAATCTCTGAGAATTCTGGCTTTTCAGCTTAGTAACAGAGATGAGCACCGCCCCCTATGGTTGGACACAACTTGACAACCTTGAATACCTTTACCTTTAACTATAAGAGAACTCCAGTTTCAACTAAAAAAGAGGCTTTTACTTTAAAATATGCAAATGTTGTGTGATCACATACTCAAGAGCAGAGTCTAACAACCAAAATTAAAAAAAAAAAAAAACCAAAGCAACACTGCTGCCTTATTCAGGATTCAGCACCTTTCCTCACATCAGTAATAGTCAACTTAAAGCCTTCTTGTCAGAATGGTTGTGGTCAGAATGGTTTTTCTTTTCCTTTGGAACTTTTGATAAAAATTAGGCTTTCTACATATGAATCCCTTTTGAAACCAAATTCTCACAATTTAGTATTTGAGATAATCTAATCAAACTATGCAGCTCTAGCATGCATTTTCAATACACTCCATTCCTCCTCCTTTAAAGTTGTTATCTACTGTATCCCTCTTGGCACTGTAACATTGTGATAGAGTATGAGTAAAGCATCAGAGGTGCACAATTCCAAAAATCTTGTATAAGGTGCTTGTAGGAGCGGGAGAGTGAATACTGTACTGTACTATAGCCCTTGAGTATCTGGCCAGCTGTTTCCTAACAGCAGCAGAATTATGTAGTTTGACAGCCTGGAACTGATGACAAATGATAAATGCCTTTCCATGGGACAATCTTTAATTGTCATCGTGATAACCAATATAATTTCAGAAGGCCCACTGTAGCAATTCCATTAGGAGAGCAAAATAAATACTGCAGGGGTATAAAAGTAAAAATGCTGGAGCCATTCATTAATTTTAATGATAAGAATATTCCTAATCATAGTCTTTTAACTGACTTGGAGCATCTGCTCCAACCAATGTTATCTTGTTATCCAAAAATCAAAGAACTTTAAGATGGCATGACCCAATTTCAGTCAATTTATTCAGTCTTCCAAATATATATATATATATATATATATATATATATATATATATATAGGTATTTCTAGGCACATTTTATTGCATGTTTTCTGATTAATGTCTTGACATTAAGACATCCATTCCATTCTAATTTCATAATCTATTTGTAAACTGAGAGGCTACAATGAAGCTACTGAAAATTTCTGGGAAAATAAAATGTATCCAATGTGGATGAAATATGATATTCTCTTGTAACATATATCTTCATGTTAAAAAGAGATGTGGCAATGTTCCATTATTCATAGTGCTCCCATTTTGTACTCTTCAATTATGAGAAGAAATGTCAGAACAAAGACTTGTCATTAATATAAACAATTCCATAACCATACACCTTCACCATCAATAATAAATCCTGACCAGACAAGCCATCAATGTTTGAAAAATGTGTGTATTCTCATAAACAGAGCACACCCTTTTTATTTTGGTGGATGCATAAAATGCAACCCAGGAATTTCTTTAACAACACTATTATACATTGTTTCTTTTAAAAGTAATTATATAGCAAGATGGCATATTGAAATTATAAATTATAATTATAAACAATTAATTTATAATTCATATTTGCATTCAATTTAACTAAAAGGAGACATAGGGGTTGCAGACTGCCAGAAATAGTGCAAATTGAGTCCACTTTTAGGGTTAGGGTTAGGGTTAGGGAATCATGGGAACTGTATTTTATTGTGGCACCAGAGCTCTCTGACAGAGAAGGCTCAATGTCTCAGAAAAAAAACAATTCCCATGATTCCCTAGAACTAACCCTAACCCTAAAAGTGGACTCAATTTGCACTTTTTCTGGCAGTCTGCAACCCCCCCATAGTTAGATAAAGATAAGATATGGCTGCTTACAAATACTTTAGTAACGATATTTGTAATACTTTGGTAACTTTTACTTCTTTTTATAATAACTATTTGAATACATATGTACTTATCTCAAATTAATCAATATGAGAAAATTAATCAATTTTCCTATCAAATTGTTCATAACATGGAAGAGCCATGACAAACTATCTTAAATATTTTTTATTTTTCTATTATACAGCCATGGGATTGTTAGTCCAGTTGTTATTTTTGTTGTTGTGTGCCTTCAAGTAATTTCTGATTTATTTGACCCTATCACAGAGTTTTCTTGGCAGAATTTGTTCAGAAGAGGTTTGCCTTGCCTTCCTTTAAGGCTGAAAGAGAGTGCCTTGCCAAGGTCATCCAGTGGGTTTTCATGGCCAAGTGGGAATTTGAACCCTGGCCTGTAGAGTCCTAGTCCAATGCTTAAACCACTATACCATGTTGCCATGCCATTTACCTATAACTACTGCTATTACCCCTGCAAGTATCTATTACTGCTCTGTGGGGTGGGGAAAGAATAGAGAAAACTGCAATTTACAGTAATTAAAAACAATATTTGTTAAATCATTTTGAAATCCATGAATTATTTTACTGATCCTTTTGCTTTTTTGCAGGAATATATGGACTCTAATAAATATATTGACCATTTGCTAACTCACTTGGAAGAGCAACGCTGGAATGTGTGGAGGTAGGAATTATTTGTACATATACATAAGGCAATCCTTTATCTATTTAGAATGATATCTCCTCACATTTCATTAGAATTTACCCCACTGTAACTGTAAGGGATTGCATCCTGAGAAACCAGTATGACTTCCATTTACTTTTGCCATACCTTCAAATGTAATGTCAAATATTGAAATTTCCCCTATGTACCTCTGCTGACTTAAGTATTAATTAATGGATACTTATCACCAGCTGATAGTGTGAGATTGATGATATATTGTAGTATTACGTCAGATTGAATGCTAGCCTAAGGATCCACTTGTTCTTTTCAGCCATCTGGGTTTCACAGTGACATTCTTTTCCTGTGATACCTGATGCATGATAAGTTTTATCCACATTGGTTCAATACCACTTTAACAGCCATGGCTTCATCCTATGGAATCTTAGGATCAAGTTTGATGAGGCACTTAGAAATCTGGCTGCTAGAGAAATCTTCTTCATTCTTATGAGCCTACAACAGACTAGCAGAGAATTCCAAGCACCTCATACTCTACAATTCCCAATATTCCATGGGATGGGACCATGACCATTAAAGTAGTATCAGACTGGAGTAATTGTGAATACATCTATAGTCATCCAGGATATTTTTTGTCAAGTTATTATTATTATTATTATTATTATTATTATTATTAAATTTATTTTTATCCTGCTCCTCTGTGTAATGCAACTGGGGTGGCTTACAACATTAAAAATATACATTTCATAATTCCCTGGCAGAATCCTGCCTTGGTTCAGAATCTAGTAATCTTTCTGAAAGTTTCACAAAATATACTTCCCCATTTGAAATACATTTTGATGGGCAATTTAAAAAAAGCCTGACACATATCTGGTTACATACAGGAGGACCAGACATTCATCTTTTACAGGACATGTCCTACATTTCAACCACCTGTCCAGGAGGAATGCCAAAACATCCTCCATTTTGAGAATGCCCAAGATGCATGAATTTCTATTTCTATGAGTGTTTATAGTTTTTTAGTTTGTAATGTCCTCCATTTTTCCTGAATATCCTACATTTCACAGTGCCTTGCCTTCCTTTGTTATAACATCTGGTCATCCTGGGTTATACATGAATTTCCCCAATTTTCTTCTTTATGGAGAAATGTAATTCTGCATGTCGCACATATATGAGTAGGCATGTTCATATGTTACTATATTTGATAAAAGTGCTTGATGATATTGATGATGTTGTTGTTGTTATTGATGATGATGATGATGATGGTGGTGGTGGTGATTTGTTTATCTCAGTCTGTTAGGTCTCTCAAGGTGAGCACAACAAATTAAAAAAAACCCCAGATTAAAACAGATTTTAAAAAACAATGCACATATAAAGCAGCCCCCAAAAGCCAACCATACTTGTACGTCGCAGAGGGTACACAGCTAAGTAAGGATGGAACCAGTCTGACTTCCACTGGAAGGGAGTCCCATAAGTGAGGTGGTACTCTAGAGACACCCTTGCCTTATATACATACCAACCTAGCTCCTCACAGCAATGGGAAATGTAATAGGAAATGAAATAGGCCTCCATTGTTCTCATATCACAGATGGCCTCACATAGGAGGAAGTAATGTTCAGATATGACCCCAGTCAAAACCAGCATTTTGAATTGGGCTCAGAAGCAACCTGAAAGGAGTGAAGTTTGTAATATACTAGTGATATGTGGACCCTGAAACACACACCAACCTGACCACTCCATTTTGCATGAGCTATAGGTTCCAAAAGTGTTTCAAGGGCTGTCCCAAATAGAATTCATTACAGTAGTCTAATTGGAAAGCAACCAAGACATAAACCCTTGTAACCAAAGCTTCTCACCTTGGGATGTGGAGCATCTGGCTCACCAGCCATAACTGGACAAATGCCCTGACACAGCAGCCACATGGGCTTTGAGGAGCAATATTCTGAGTATCAAAGTAGTTTAAACACCTTATTATTCTAAATCCCTATTTCTTAAATTAAACTAAAAAGAAGTTTACTATTTCTGACACTCTGTTTCTGAATCTCTGCCTTTTGAAGTTTGTCTACTGAAGTGTTTTTGTAAGAAAAAGCCATTAGGATCCAAAAATATTAATCAGAGATCCCCTGCCCTGCCTTGAGTATCTAATTTACAAAAACTCATTAACCTGAGATGCCTATTACCAGAGATGGGTTCACCTGAGAAATTTTAAAAATATCAATGTATCAAAGCAACTAGGGCATAATGAGCATACGAATTGTGTGCATTTCACCATATTTATATCTACTTGAGCACACAGTAGAAGCCATAACTGCACTCTATGAAAGAATTATTCTCAAATAGATTTTAGATTATTTTGTCCAATGAAATGAAATGCAACATGATTTAATGCTGTTTTAAGGGGGGAGGGATTGTTTTGGATATTATGTATCTTTTTAACTGTTGTAAGCCGCCCTGATTGGGTTCCCAAAGGGTGGGATGATAATAATAATAATAATCATCATCATCATCATCATCATCATCCATAGCATAATAATAATAATAATAATAATAATAATAATAATAATAATAATAATAATAATAATCAATAGCATTATTATTATTATTATTATTATTATTATTATTATTATTATTATTATTATTATTATTATTATTATTCCATAGCATTAGTATTATTATTATTTCTTCTTAAGATTTTAGCCAAGCTCAGGCCTGCCTGCCTACTTACCTGCCTTCTTTCTCAATATTTATTGAAATATTTTAAATATTTACATGCTTCCCCAAATCTAAGTATCTCAGGGCCAAAACCAACAAAGTAAATCAGTTTAAATAATTAGTAAACAGCCAGAAGTTGAAAATGCAATTAAGAAATAGTGGTTAGAGGCAAGCCTTTCCACAAACCCTGACCAAGGCCACACTGTCACACTGCAGAATGAATGCAGTTTGGCATCATTTTAACAGTCATGGCTCCATCCTATGGAATCCTGGGATTTGTAGTTTGTTGTAACATCAGAGCTCTCTGACAGAGAATATTTCACAAAATAACTCACAAAACGACAAAGCCCAGAATTCTATAGCCTTGAGCCACAGCAGTTAGTGGCATCAAAGTGCATTATTTTTTGCAGTGCAGAGTAGATCCAAGACTCAGGAATCAGATTACTTATTTCTATCAGTGGCATTTCCAGTATATGAGACTTCATGTATGCTGAGCTTAATTATTCTTCCCATGGTTAGTCGTGAAGAGAGAATGAAATCATGCTACAGAATGAAGCAATTTTCAGGTGCAGCTGTCTGACCTTGGGAATCTCCATTACCTCTTTGGATGGATTGCTGACAGTATTGATAAGCAAACTTGATGGGGCATGATACCCACTAGGATGGGGATATTGGTCCTTCAATAGTATCTATCTCATTGGCTTCGGTCACTAGTGGTCTCTGACTGGTTGACATGAGCTGAGTCAGGATCCTTGATGCAGCACCTCTGTAGGTCTTTTGTTGACACTCCTAACTCAGCTAAATGTTTCTGCTGACAGTTGAATCATAATAAAAAAGGACATACAATAATACAATGATTGTGCACACAAGTAGTGTGTATAATGCTCTTTTTGACTTACAGGTCAAGGAATGAATGAACATTAATTAATAAATAAGACAGAAGGAAATAATTTTAAGGTACATAAGCAGTAGAGCCAGCGTGGCATAGCGATTTGGGTGTTGGAGTATGACTCTGCAGACCAGAGTTTGATTCTGCACTTGGCCATCAAACCCATTGGGTGACCTTGGGCAATTCACATTATCTCAGCCTCAGGGGAAGTCAGCGGCAAACCCCCTCTGAACAAATCTTGTAACTGAAAACCCCATTATAAATTCATCTTAGGGTCGCCATAAGCCCGAAACCACTTGAAGGCACACATCATCATCATCATCAACAACAGATAAGCATTACTAACTTTGACTGCATATGGCTGTGGTTCAGTACATTGAAGATGTTTCCTTATTTTACTTTCTTCTTAACAGAAATAGAAGATAAAAAATAAACGGATGATTTTGAACATTACTTTAATCCCGATACAAGTCTTACCCACTTTGAATCAATATATAAGGAGAGGAGCCTTACTCTAGCCTTCTCTCCAATGGAAAGCAACAAGTTTGAAGAGAGATTCCTGTTGGTTTGGAATTTCCAAACTAGAGAGCAAGGCTGCATCTGCACTGCAGAATTAATGCAGTTTGACACCGCTTTAACTGCCATGACTCAGTGCTATAGAATTCCATGATTTGTAACTTTGTAAGATATTTAGCCTTCTCTGTCAGAGGGCTCTAGTGACACAACCAACTAAAAATCCCAGGATTCTGTAAGATGGAACTATGAGAGTTAAAGCGGTGTCAAATTTTGCAGTGTGCCAGCAGCCCTGGAAATTGATCTTCTGGCTCACATGGAGATACGGAAACTTTCCATAAACAGTTTTCGTCAGGTTTTTCACTTTCCGCATGAACAAAATGACAATGTGGGAGGACTGGGTTAGACACTCCCATCTTCATGAATTCAAATAAAGGTGAAAAGGTACAGTATACAAAACAATACAAAAAGGAGGGAAGAGGATGGAAAAAATAATGTAGCAGCTTATTTAAGACTGACTGCTTTTTATTTTTGCACGAGCATCCATGGTATAAATCCACCGCTTTGGATGCAGTACAGAGTGGGTTTATATCCACAAAAACCCATGCAAAAATAAAAACCAGTTACTCTTAAAGGTGCTACTACATTCC